ACAATGTTGCCAATAAGCATTTGACAGACATCAAAGCGCCCAACAAGTTTTCCCACTCAATTCAAATTCAATGCATATTGATGAGCTCAGCTTGGAGCGAAAAGCGATAAACGAGCTAATCCGCTGATGGAAAGGAAAACAGTATAAAAAAGATTTCAAATGGAAGGTTTTTGCCATGTTTATTCCTTCGAAATAATGTTTATTTTCCGGTAAAGAAATTTGATATTTAAGTTAAATTGGGATTTCTTCCTGCAGTTTTCCTAAATATTAAATATCATGCCATTAGATTGGGTATTTTCGGATAAAACAAATTAAATATTGTTATAAATATTAGCAAGCAAAGCTTATGAAAATGCAACAAGAGTATTTCTTGTAAAAAATATAGAAATTATATTTTCAGAAGGAAGTATCCTGGAAACAAACTGTTGGTTGGAAATGTAATCAAATTTGCATTCACATTCATATTTAAAAATGTTTTAATATTTTGCAGAAAATATTCCGATATATATAACAACATTTCGATACTCGAATTTCAGCTGTGGAAAACCCTCTTGAAATTGGTATTTTTTGTGTGTGCCATGAAGCGACGAAATCTGCGACCTTTTATTGCCATCCAGTTGGAAATGGAATGCATGGCAGTTGACCTCGGCTGCCGGCAGCGGGATCTTTATGCATTTCATTTATCTAAATCCTGGCAGCCTTGGCCGTTCAACTCAACTTACCTCGACATTTTATGAGCTGGAAGTTGGTTTCGCTCCGTGGCAGCATAAATTATACCGCATATATTTGTTTGGCCAGAGTTTTCGTATTTTCGTATTTTCGGTTTTCGTTTTTTTTTTTTTTCATTCGCTGAGGCGATGGCCTTGAGTGCGGGAAATGCAAACTACCATGTCGAAACAAAGAGCAGCTGCAGCTGCACTGAAAAATCGAAAGAGAGAGGGAAAAACTCAAAGATGCAGCAAAGCTGCAAGTGCCGCAAAAACGAAAAATGTAAAAGGAAAAAAAACAAGGTCAGTGGTAACGCAGAAAAGGCAAAACTTTAAGAAACTTTTGGTTAATCGAAAGTCTTGGCTTTAATTCTAATTAAATTTCAATTTCAGACATTAGCCGAAGCTATCTAAAAGTTTTCAGCAGGGCGGCCGCCTACAAAATACGTACAAAATACTTGTAATCCCAATTTGCATAAATATTTATGCTGATGGCGCTTAAATTGCTAGCCCCTCACACCATTTGTGTTAATGCGTCTTAATCTTTAATGAGCCAAGTTTCGCGATTCGCGGTTCGGTTCGGTACCTTCTTCGGTTCTCGTTGGGTTAGTCCATGCCTCTGGGTTTGGGCTTCCCATTATGGCCTGCGGATCGGAGTACGTGTAACCATACAGCATGACCCCGGCGGGGGGCAGGAGTGTAATGGCTCTGGAAGTGGTTTTTGCCATTGTGCACTACTTTCATTCGGATAGATACGATGAGATCTAATTATAAAGATAAACTGTTATGCTTCCTGCTCCCCTGTATGTGGCAAGCATTTAAATGGCCAACAAATCTTTGCCAGACAGATGCCAAATAACTTTCAATGTGCTTTGAATCTAGTATGGTACGCTTGTGATTATTTTGTAAAATATCTTCAAATCAAATTCAAATTTTTTGCAATTTTTTAAATCAATATTGCAACATATTTTTACTGTATAAAAGAACTCCCATAAATATAAATATTTTTTTAATGTATTCAATTCGTTCAACTGAATTTGTGAATATATATTTAAACCAAACAAACTGCGTGGAACCAACGTCATTTATTTCATCAAAAAAGGCTTATATATAGAACAATGAATACTATTTAAAAGCTAACAGAATAATACAACAGTTTTTAATTTAAAATTATACAAAATCGAAAACTGCTAACCCTTTATTTTAAAGAGTAAATGAAATCACATGTAAATTATTGAAATTTTACACCTTCACTTGCTTTAAATCACCTTTGGGTTCCCTGAAGCACTTGTTCGCCCGTTCTAAGTACGTATCCCTAAAATTAAATTAAAGCAAATTAAATGGTGCAGAATGTGCTGTTTAATCCACTGGTGGCAACACCGTTTCCCTCCAGTTAATTTAACCCTCTGCTGACAGCAAAATCCACAAGAAAGATAACAGAGCAAACCGAAGCAAAACCAACTTCCAATGGCAACTCACTCCCTCAGGATTCACGCTACTTATTTTAATTGCTCGACATTTTTCACAAAAACTTTTTGTACTCGCACATTGGCACGCACATACTATACTATATATATATGCTTTTAGGGGCATTTGCAGTTCGCAGCTTAATCGACTGATTTAGAAGTTTATTGCACATTCTGGCATCTCGGGGAAATGGAGACGGCCACGAAGGTATTTAAAGGCTCCAACTGCGTGCTCCGTGCTTTGAACTCCACTTCATTTGTGTCTCGTCCTCCGGTTGCCAGTTGGCAATATAAATGGACTTCCGTGCATAAAGCGGATAATGCCAGGACGAACGCCCAGACAAAGCACCACTTCAAATTGCGCTTGAATTTATTGGCCTGCATTTAAATGGCCGACAATTGCGAACGCCTTGCTGCGACTCCATTCCGTCATAAATGCACTTGGAAAATACAAAATGTAATAGATCTAAAAGAATGATTCCAGAAATAATATAGATATTATAAATATTATTATTATTATTATTCAAATTATTAAGCTTCTCGACTAAAGGACTTTACCTCACGCCGTATTATATAAATAAAAAATAAACAAATATTAAGGTAAAATAATATTAAAAACAATACGAGATTACTATATATACATTTTAAGAAATGAAAATTTATCAACACACAAATATCTTTCGTAGGTTAACTATTAAATATAAAATATTTTCTAAAAGTTATCAGAAGAAATAAAATATAAATTGTAATAACTATTATTACTTATTATTATTGTAAACTAATATTAAAAAAAAAGCAAAATAAAATAAATAAGCATAAAATCTTTCTGTTTTTATAAGTGCAAAAATTGGCTCTACGCAAATAACTTTAAAAAACAACAGGTTATATTTTAATAATATTATATTGTATATTCCTCCCACAATTTCCATCACTGACTAAAATTTGAAAGTGTTCCTAAAATAATAATACCAAAAAGAAAGTAAATATATTTCTGTGACTGCATTGAAGTAATTTCAACGCAAACAGCTACGCAAAATGCCGACCACAAATGTGCGGCAACTGGTAGCTGTTGTCCTTGACCATCGCATGAATAATTGCGCAGGACCCGGACTGACTGTTGTCCTTGCGACAATGCGTACAATTAAGCAAAACCGCAAAAATCACACAATTTATGCAGCAGGCGCAGCATATTAATGGCTGCTTATTGAGACGACAACATGGAATGTAACGAAAATTTGCATTAAAACTGATTTATGCATTTGTCGTTGCGGTCGTTATTGCCGCTGTTTTGACTCTTATTTCGGCCAGCTTTTCTCTGCCTTTTCCCGCCGTCAGATGCTGCGCAAGCACATGGGGGAAATTTGCATAAATTTTGCGCAACCAAATGGCACTTTTATTATGTACTTCGGTTGGGCATCAAATCGTTGTCATAAAGTTTTGAGAGGCGCTACTGCGCCAAAGACAACGTGAAGCGGTTAATTTAACAACAGCTGTCTTAAAACATAATTTTACTGCACTTGAAAATAATTAAAAAGCTTCTTTAATGTTGATTAACTTTGACAGGTGTTTAAAGCAGTGTTTTTAAAGAAATTGACGTAGTTTTTTGGTTCAAGCTCTTATAGAGATTTCATCCATTAAGGTTCACTATATATTCATTATATTTATTTATTTAAACATTTACTGTAAAGTAAAAAAGGAAATCGTTTTCAATGACCAATAAAATAACAATTAAATTTCTTTTGTTTTCACATGTACATGGCATAATCATTAGTTTTATGACCATTGATGCTTAAATGGTTTACCCTTCAAAAACAATTAAACCGACACAGAACCCGTTTAAATGTTTATTAACTACCAAAAGGCAGGCCATAAAATCTTTTCCAAACCTCACAATTAATTTTGACCATGGAAAATGACACTGCAACCCATGAATTTCCGATTAAATTCAATTTCCACATCAGCTTTCAACTTTAATGCCCGTTCTCACATATTTATCAACTGCTATTGAATACAACGCATGTGCATTGGCCGGTGAAATTAAATTCTTTTTCATATTTATTATTATTTATTATAATTTCCGCAGGTACTCACACACGAGCAAGCTGCTTATTCTGAGAAGCTTTGGGACGCATTGAATTTTTAATGTTACCGAAAATGTAATTAACTTTGAAGCAGCATCTTGCCTCGGGTAAAAAAAGAGCTGAAAAGTTACGTCACATTTTGTCCAGCAACTTAAACACTTCGTTTAGAACATTGAAAGCTCGTTGGCTGGCATCAATATTGCATGGCAGACGATGGCATCGATAAAAGCTGGAGTGCCATTTGCTCACCTTGAGTCTTGTGTCCGGCACACGGGGCGTATGATTGTTTTCCCGTGTCAGGAGAACGTGTGTATCTCTACTTTCGCTTTCCCCCACTCACTTTCGCTTCTATTTTCTCTATGTTTCCCCCATTTCTCGTGTAGCCTGTTAATGGCTTTAATGCGATTACACGACATCAGCTTTCTCTCTCTCTTTTGACTTCCTTGGTGAAATGCGAGTTGCGAGTTCCTTTGCCACACGGCAGCTTCATTAGCTTTAAAGGCCATTAAAGCATTCATCTGGGTAATGGAGTACCTTACCTCATAAAGCATTCATTCAGTGTAAGCCGCCAGCCCAAACAAAACTGGGCCAAAATAAAAGGAAGTGAATCGTGAAAGCGAAATAAAAAGCTGGGCAAAAAGTTTGGCCCAAAGAAAATGCAAATTGCAAATTCGAGATTTAATTTCGTTGGCAAGCATTCTATTATATACTGAAGATAATTTTAGCACGACATAAACTGATTATGATCTTTGGAAAGTATTTATATTCGTCAGGAATCAATCAAATGATGTTCATAAATAAAATATTACATAGATAGAGATTTAGACAACACAATAACTTATAAAACATTAAAAAGCCCACTAAAGATTTGGAGCACAATGGCATATGATTAGTCGTCATCGGTATCGTCGTATCGATAAAATGCACCTGTTTTCTTTGGTTCCGGCAGATAACCAAAATGGGTTCTCAGAAACTCTAGGCCAACGAACAATAACACCGTATGTGGCAATAATCGGGTTAGAGAGGGCATATAACCCTTGTAGAAAGCCAATGGTCCCTCCTTCGATGTCTTAACGAACACATCTGCAACTCCGGAATATATACCAGGCGCAGCATTCATTCGCCGAGTCTTTACCACATCAATCGGCTGCGTTAGAGTGGTGGCCACAACCGCCGAGATTATCGATGCCGTAATGTAGGTGATCATATTCTCCGACATTCCCATTTTGATCAACTGGAATCGGCTCTGCTCGTAAAACGCGATCTGTCCCACATTCATGAACATTCCTCGGAGGGCGATCATCGAGGAGCCGTTGAAAAGGCTGCGCCATCCTTCCTCTCGGGTGATGCGCACCAGTCCATCGATGGCGTGTTTGTAGCTAAAATAAAAGAATTAGTGTTAGATAATGTTGTAACCGCAAAGGAATAAATAAAAAAAATATAACCTAAATAGGTTTTATAGGAAAGCCAAGGGGTTAAACAAAACTGGTTTTTAAAAGCGTAACATACTCATTTCGTTTGTAAGATTTTTGATTGAAAGAAGTAGAAGAGTTATAGTTATAATATATTTCGAATCAATAAAGATTCCAAAGACAAAACGTTGTAAGTAAAACTCTGATAACTAATTTGATTAATGATTTTGCTAGTACATTATGCTTGCTTATTTGCAACTTTCTATCCGCGTGTTAATATAAAAAAGGAGGACATGGCTAAATCGATTTGTCTGTTGATCCTGATCAAGAAATTATATACTTAAAGGAAATGCTTCTTGCTAGGAATAAGCGGTATAAATACAAACATCACTTACTTTCGCCTTGTCTCTGGCGGCAGCTTGACATCATTTTGCAAACGAACGTTGATAAGATCCGCGGGAGCGCCCACATAACCGCCAATTCCACCGGAAACCGCAGCCAAGAAAGATTTGCGAGCCATTGTGCTGGTGTCCATCATATCAGATCCCACTGTATAAATCCCAAAACGAGACAACGTGTAGGTGTATTGACGCAGCAACGAGGCCGATATGCCATTGTACAAGGCGAATACACCCTGTTCCTTGACAATCTTTTTAGTTGTCGCCATCAACGACAACTTTTCCGCCTGCGTCTGGATAAGCACCTTCATCAAATCAATTGGATGTGTTATACAAGCGGCCATGGAACTGGCCAATCCACCAAAATACCAACGGGCAACGCGCCGTTGGTTATAGGACATCAATCCAGCCCTTTTGATAGACATTTTGCCGGTTTATGTATGTTAACTGTTAACACTTAATTTTGGTCAGCTTTATAGCACAGGATGATAGTTTATGTTGTATATGTACGAGAGACTGATATATAAATAAAACAATGTATATGGCAAGATGATTTGGAAGTAGTGAACTTAAAGGCAGTGGTAGTGTGATTACTATGAAATTTTTGACTCAAAAATTAAACCGAATACAAAGGCATGTTTTGAATTTTAAGCCAAGGTTTTTGGATAACTATAACTATTAAATATAGTAAAAATTGGGTCTTCCCTTCGACAAATCCTGTAAAAACCAATTAATAATCAACCAAAAATGAAGCAATAATATTACTCACTCCCAATCTACATAACAGCATAATTGCTAGAATGCCTCCGACAACAATTACAAAGTCCAAAACCTGATGTCTATTCTCTGCATTCATCGTATTAAAATACAGGTATAAGAGAAAAGGGCATGCAAATAGGCAAACATTTAACAATATCATCATCATTGTGAGCTTGAAGGCTCTGAAGGTCTTGTTCTCATCATTATTTGCATTATCTGGATACAGTCTTCTTTTTATTAATGTTTTACAAAGGGTTTAACATCTTACCTGTCTCAACTAACGTGTTTGTCTCGCGTAAGACCATTCTCAGCAAACTCAACTTCCATGCTCAAATTGCGTTTCAAGTCTTGTTCCATTTTAGTAATTTAAATAGTTTTTGTATTTGTAAATGACATCCAATGCAATGTAACTTTGTAACACAATAACTTAAAAATATCCAAAACAATATTTAGCTTTCCTTTTTTGGTATTTTATTTTATAACTTCTTTTTAGGCTACAATTTATTCAAATTTGTTGTAATTTTTTCTGCACAATTTCCATTCCAACTACTCCCAGCTTAAGAGCGTTTTCTTGTCACATTATTCACACCTGATTAGCCAAAAGACTGCGGCTCACTTCCGGTCAGGAACAAAGCAAAATAAAACAAAGCGTCCTAGGCACGCAACAAAGCCCTCGGAGAAACGCCTCAATCACGCACCTCTGATTATGCTAATGGATCTGAACTGAACCACTGTTGTTTCATAAATATTTTGACAGCTCAAGCACCGGAAACGGATGCCTAAAATTGTCCGCAAGTGCCTGTATTTTAATTGGTCATTTGGTTTTGACAGCTGGAAGCTCAGGCCTAGCCACTCTGAATGCTCGAAGCGCAACCGCTCTTTAAACAGAGGCGGTGGTGGTGTTGTGAAACTGAATGGCTATTAAATAAATAAACCTGGTCAGGAAAGTTATTATTTAGCCGATATAGAAAACACATCAATTCAGTTGGCAGACCATTAAAGTTGAGCTAACGTTGGGGTTTTCCCCCAATGGCCGGTCTAGACACTTTTTGAGTGCAATAAAATTTTGCGAAAAACACTTTTTGGAGTTATTGCCTCAAAAGCAAAATACATTTTATGCCCGAGGAATCGAAAATGGGTTATATTTCAACGAATGAAATGAAATTTCTGCCATTGGCATATTGAACAGAGTCCACTCCGCAAGATAAAAGCGGCTAAATAATTTGGTTTCAGTTCGATGACCATGCAAATTGAATGTTATTTCGGTTTACGTTCCGTTTAGGCTACAAATTCAACGGACTTTCAATTCGCTAACCATCAAAATCACCACTGATGGATTGGATTTTAATTCCGGTGCAGATGTCAGCGAGTGTACAAATATTTGCCATCCCGGCCAAATTGTCGCAATGCGTTGCATTTGTTTATTTTTCGTGTAATTCCATTTTGCGGTTTGCTTAACTGAAATGCCAACTCACGTTTATTATTTTACCATAATTGGGTTTTAGCTGCCAAATACCAAAAATATAATTATCAGATTGTCCAATAAGGGAACGACCGGAAAAAAAAAAGTTAACTATGCAAACTTTAAAATGTCCAAAATCTTCATAAACTTTATTTATATAGCGGCCAACTCGTTAGGGTGAGTTAAGCCTTAGTTTAGAAGTTATATACATAGTTTAGTTCGGTTTCTTCATTTGTTGCTGCAACATTGGTCCTTGGGTCCATTCTTACAGACGCACTGGCAATCCTTGTTGCAGGCACAATTGTCTCCGCACTTCTGACTCGAGCACTGGCAGTCTGTGTGGAAATTGAGAGCGCTTGTCAATTATTTGGCTTCTGCTGTTTCTCTGTATCACTTACTTGTTCCACAACCCTTGCAAACCATTTTGTTGGTATGTATCTCTTGGACTTTGACTTGGCTAAGACAAACAGAATTTCACTTGCTAGCTAGTTGGCTATTCAACTGATGATGACCCATTGCAGCAACGTCTGCCCATTTTATACCCATTTCGAAGGGAATTGCCTCGTACTCGAACGAGTGCAAAATTGCACAAATCCAAAACAAATTTGTTTGTTTGACCCGCCTTATCACGGCGTGTGCAAGCCGGGGGCGAGTGATTCGCAATTTATCAGACTATAGGCCAGGCAATTCTTTTTGCGCACGCGATTCCTAACCAGCTCACTGCACACGACCTTCCCGTCAGCTTATCAGCTGGCCACCGTTGCGTATTCGTTGCGTATACGCCCTGTATCATGACTCAACAGACAGCCCAGAAGCACACAAAGAAAATTTAAAAACAAGCATTGGCAGTTAAAACGTTATTGGCGCTTTACTGAATAGAAACTAAATCTATGTTATGATAAATCAAATTCTTCTTAAATTTTTATATTCGCTATAGTCTTGCATTTCAGTAAAGCTTTACAAAAAAAAGGAAACACAAAGTAACAAAGCAGCATTAAAACTGAAAGGTAAAAATAAAATAAAAATGATTAAAATGTTAGGTAAATATAACAAAAAATAGTTGGGTAAAAAATTGCCCATAAACTTCTTTAAACAATCAAGTATAAAATGTATTAAAATTTATTTCAAATAACAAAATGTGTTCCTCATTTTAAATAATCATTTTTTTAAATAAAAAATTAATAATTTGTTGTTATATATTTGTTAAAAAAGAATTTTATATAATACATGTTTTTTACTATTTTATTACTATTTTTACAGTTATTATAAAGCCATTAAAAAAAAAGTTAACGAAAATGTTACAAAATTTTAAATTCTTTTGATAGTGCTATGTTACAATTTAACAGTAGCTGTTAGGGGAGAAAAGTAATTAAGCGTAGCATGCTTTTAGACCGAATAATAACGTCACTTAGCCGAGAACGTAACCAACAAACAACACCCTGCATACCTTGCGGGGCAGTAATAAAAAGATCCCAAAAATACTTGTAATAAAATGCCTTGTTTATTCGGAAAAACACTCGTAGCGAGTGTCGAGAAAGACTAAAGGATTAACATACATAAATATAGACACAATGGTGCGCATATCGCTAGCATCACAAAAACGTAACAACGACAAATACTAGAGCACAAAATTCATGATGTGATGACGCCAAACGAAAAACGCTTAGTCCTTCAATTCGGCGGCTGTGTTAACAAACCCGGTAGTTTGGGTCAACTGCAGTTGGGCCTTCTCCTCAGCCTCCTGTGCCTTCTGTTCGGGCGTTTTGGCCCATTCCTGTAGTTCACCGGAGCAATAGAACCAGTAGATGACGCAGCCGATGAGGTAAATGCCCGCCGAAATAAAGAAGATGATGCGCCACTCTTCGCTCGTCTGGTTGGTGACCACGTAACCCGTCAGTAGGGGACTGACGATGCCCGGAATGGTAGCGAACGTGTTGCCAATACCCATCAGCACACTAGCATGCTGGGGAGCAATATCCAGGTGATTAACCCTGTAAATGAAGTACCCACATGAATACCACATCCCGTAGAGATTTTCTCTGCCCTAGAGCACAAAAAAACTCACGCAAATCCAGACCAGGCAAAGGCACCCAGACCCACGGCAATGGTCAGACTCACTACCGACCACGTGGGATCCAGCAAATACGCCGTCAGCATCATGAACACAGTCTGGGACAGGAAGGCTCCACAGTTGAAGTTTCGCCTCACCTGAGTGGTCGTCCAAATACCCTTCACCTGGAGCCAATCAGCCAAATAGCCGGACACGGCCAGCAGGATGCCCATGGCCAGGTAAGGCACTGCCGAAAGGATGCCTGTTTTGCCCAGGTCAAAGTTAAGGGTATCTTAAAAGAAAAGGGGTGAAGGTTATTAGTGAGTGAATTAGATTTTACACTTTTAGAATATTTAGCGAATTGTTATTAAAACAACTTTTATTTTAGAAGAAAATGTCCTTTAAAACTTACCCCTAAGGAAGCTGGGCAACTGGGTGAGCAAGGTGTAGAAGCCCCAGTTCTCTGAGAAGTGCGAGGCCATGATGGCATAGAAAGGCATCGACGTGAAGATGGCCCTCCATGGGTGCTTGATGTGCTTGGTTCCCACATAGCCAATGGACTTTTGTATGTATTCGCACTCCTCCTTCGAGCAGAAGCGATCCAGCTCGGGTCCAGCCTTAACAAAAATGAGCCACGTGATGTACCAGATAACGCCAATAGTACCAAATACGTAGAACACGCTTTGCCATCCATATTTAGTGGCCAAAAATCCAGAGCATGGCATCGCCACTACAGTTCCTGCATAATTTCCAGCAAATGCTATCGAAGCCATTCGGGATCTTTCCAAGGGTGGTGACCACCGGGCCCACACCGCATGGATTCCGGGGAAGGTTACGCCCTCGAAGAAGCCCTCAATGATGCGGACGGCCAGGAACATCTCCAAACTGTGTGAGGCAGCCAACGGGGTGAGCAACGTCAGAATGGCAGTGCTACCAATGCCAGTTCCAAAGACCTAGAAATTCAATAAAAAATTTTTGGAAAAGCATAAATAATTATTTTCCAGAAGAAAAAATACCTTTAATGAAGCAACTTTTATAATTTAAACATCACAAAATAGTTGTAAATTGGTTTAAGTTGTTAAATTACTATTATTTAACGCTAGCTTAAAAAAGTTTTAATCGAGTTTGGAACTTTAAATTTAAATTGTATTTTAATGTACCCTTAATTCGATTAATAACGTCCACTATTTAGACTAACCACTGTAATTCGAAAGCAATTTGTTTAGATAATTATTACCTATAAAAACGCTCTTAATATAAAACAGTTTTTGCTACAAATGTAAATATACAAAAATCAAATTTATCTTCTTTGAGAAAAACCCAGTGATTACTTCATAAGTACACATTTTATTCTACTTACAAGGTTGCCACCGATCTTGGTGCCAATGTAGCCGCCGAGGAACTGGGTCAGGATGTAACCATAGAAGAAAGAGCTGAGGATCAAGCCCTTCTGCTTGGAGTCCCAGGGAAAGTCCTGGACATAGGACACATTTCCATCGGCATCGAACACTGTTCGATTCTCAGTCATAGCCACAATGGCCACCGAAAGGTTGACCCGCAAAGAGTAGACATTGAAGAATCCGAAGAAGGCCAAGAGAACCACAATGTAGCGCTGTTTACGCCAGAATCGCCAGGTGAGTGGTTCACTCTCCGTGAGTTCGTTGCTGAAAAGTTTATTAAAAATTTGTTTATAGTCAGCAGGGTTCTTCGATGGAGAAAGAGAGTTATGCAAATGAGGAGCCGGCAGGTTACTTTCCCTTTCGGCTGCCAATAATTTGCTGCAGGCAGTTTCGCTTAACTTGGTTTGGTTTTTTAGTCTTTTCAGTATAGCCCCGGAACCAGTTTGGAAGTTGTGTTATTGACTGGTTTATTCAACCCATATCGCCCCAGGGCACCGAGGAGTCTATCTACTTTATAAGCTTTAAATACGACAAATGCAAAAATCTATATGAATGTAACTAAAAATAATAAATCAAAAAATTTAAGAAATTGGTATAGAATCATTCCGATAAAACTTTAATATTTATTTAATCTTAATAATTTTCTTATTGAATTTTTTATATTATTCATATCTTTCACTTAAATAATTATATTTTATAGTATATTTAAAAAGCATTTCACTTATAAAAATGATTATCTAAACTTGTTTTTAAAGGTGTTTTAACTTTTTTATTAAAACTTAAAGAACCCTCTGTTACCTAAACACATTTGGCTTTCATTTCTTGCAGCCTTAAGTTATGCGGAACCGATTAGAAGTTATTAGATTGCCTTGTGGAATGTACTCACTTGTTGTGGTGCACCTGGTCCAGGTGTTTGCCGTTCTTCGGGGACTCCAAGTCGGTCATTGTGCCAGCCGATCAACGTGAGCCTGAAATACATTTAATTTGTTTATACAATACACCAATTGTAAGGCCCGGCAACCCATGTGCGTGCTGGCGATTCATTAAACTCGAATTTAAGCTGATTGACCCAGCGAAACACAAGTGCAGCCAAGTCGATGATGAGACCGCCCTTACACACAAAAGCGTGTTATAATTCCGCGATTTGTTAGAACTCAAATAGCACCCTAGCTATAGATATATATACACTATATATTTGGATATATTTATAGCTGGGGATCTGTTGCGTGCCGGTCGTGTAATTGCCATTGACACTGAACGAGAAGCAAACATTTTGCTAAGCAATTTGTGGCCCACTAATGCGGAAACATAATACGGCAGAAGATTTGAGATTCGAGATGAGAATAGAATCTCAGTCTGAGGCTGGGCATCCGCCGCACGGGAACGCATCTTAACTCAATTATCCATTTAGCCTATTAAGCGAATGGTTCGCCAATTGTGGCACGCGAATTAGCGCGAACACAGAACCATACTCTCACTCTGGATGCCATAATCTAATAATTGTAGCGTAAGTGAGCCAAGTCTGGCCGAGTTGATTCGCTTTGATTTGCAAATTGCACGAATTTTCGGCACTGCCAACACGCGCTGCTTTTGAATGTCATTTCAAATTGAAGCAATTGCACAGCACGCACGTGTTGAAAGCCAGTCCCTGCTCTCTGCAATCAGTGAAAGTACTAGTTACTACACTTAGAAAAATTATCACACTATTCTAACAACAATGTTACTTTTAATAGTTTGATTGTAATCATTAGAATCAAGTCGTTATTTCTCCTTGAACAGCTTTAATAAAAATGAGAAAAAAGAAAAACAAATCTCAAGTTTATATTTAAAGGAGAAGCTACTCATAGAGCCTTTAGAAATAAACAGTTTATAAATTACTAATAATAATGATAGTAATAAGAAAACAAGAAAAAGGGTGAGATGCAAAAAAGATAACTTGGCTTATTATAAAAACAAAAATATTACAAAATCTTCTTCTTAAATCTTGATAAATTTACATCTAAAATTAGTAATAGCTTTTTGTTAGGTGTAAATGTGCTTTTACTAACTACAGATAACTGCTTATCATTATAGTTTTATGACAACTACCGTGCAATCACCTGTCGTAAAACAAAGGAAAGTATTCCTCAAAAAAGTTTTCCGTGCTATCAAATATTTCCACAAGTTGTATCATAAAACAATTTGGCGGTCGGGTTAAAAAACACTAATTGATATTTAATAGACTTATTTCGGACGGCTATACTTTAAACTTTTGTTTATGCTCCCCAGATTAGTGATCATAAAACGATATATATAGCCTGGTCGTGGTCTTTTATTACCACATGGTTATCTTCAGCGACTGCAAAATTTCATTTTTCCTACGCAGAATAACAAGAAAGCCTGCTGAGATTTTTGTTTTATGGAGTGCCATTTTGGGTATCATAAATTCCAGCCTCAGCTGATAGGTTCGCCTGGGGCAAACCTTTTCGACATCTCCATAAGAAACCTGTTGCCCCTGATAAGTAGCAGCTCAGCAAAAAATATATTTACTTTTTTAGCTTTAAATAAGATAGAGAGCAGGAGTCGGAAAAAGCAAGACACGTGATTACAAATAACAAATCTAATTTGTCATGCAAGTCTGATAAAAACAAAATAAAACTTCAGATTTGAGGGGAAAAGTTTTCAAAAAACCTTGACAACGGCAAATGAACTTCCATTTTATCAATTTTTGCTAACAGAAAAATTCAAGCCACGATATTAGCAACCTAAATCGTAATAAAAATCTATAACAAATATATAAATGTTATACAAAAGTCACCTAAAAACACTTGCAATTTACAAGAAGCACTTTTGCGACAGCTGCACCCAACGAAAAGGCGGCAAAATGTCTTTAATTAAAACTTCATCGAAGGCAGTTGAGCAAACAGTTGGTTCAATATACACCAGCACACACATTTCGAACACACGAACACTTTGTAAAAACTGAAGATACTTTTCAAACTGAGTCACAAACTTTTATGCAAGGCGAAAAACGAGAGTAAAAGTTCGAAAAAACGCACCGATGAAAGTTGAGACTTTATCCAAAACTGCTTGGTCTGATCTCGATCGATCGATCCGTTCAACAGCACTGCTTGCCGCAATTTTTGTAAATAGGGGGCGTTGGCCAGGTGGGCAGGCAGGTGTGAAGTCGCCGATGGCTGGCAGCGGACTGAAATATCCAGCAGCTTTCGATTTAGCAGCTCAACTCGGCTGCGCCGGCAGCTCGATCAAATCAGCTGAGGTTTTTTTTATTTTCGGGAGCGGGAGCTGGGATTTCCATCCCACATCATCGTACATCGTTCATCTCTCATCGCGTTCAGTTAACTTCAATTGAGGCACTGGTACTGCCAGGTAATAAAACCGGAGCTAAATCGATAAAGAGGCAGGAACCTTGATTATGTGATTAGGCCGCCAGCGCTGATAGTGATCGGCATAAAGCTTATCGTTTGATTAGTCCATATATGTGGCGCTTGTAAAGATAAATTGTTGCGGCAATTTAAGAGTCCAACAAACAATACGCAGCCAGCTTTTCTGCTGCTTAATTGAATCTGCCAGATTTGCAGTTAATTTCGGTAGCCAATCTTAGCACAAAGGGAAAAATAAGTGAAAAATAAGGTTTCATTTCCTTAAAATGTATCAAAGAAAATTCTGGAAATAACTAAGTTAACGAGATGTATTACGATTTGAGCGCCATGTTCTAGTGTTATTACAATTTGATTGAAGGTAATTTTAGTTATTCTAAGTTATATTCTAAGTAGGTTTTGTCTTTCTTTTATAAAATAGCCTTACTTGGCTTCTTTGATACTTTGCATAAAGCCAAGTTAGTAAAAAGTCCAATGACTTTAACACATTTTTTGGGGGCAGAACTCCTACGACTTAAACTCTGTTCTGCTAAATTTACCCTTTTTTTGTTCTCATAATTAGTCAATCATGTTTAAAAAATCTGGTTATTTCTATCGAAATGAATCAATAACTTAATTAACACATTTAATTGATTGAATTAGCTGCTTTTGTCGCAGTCCATAAATTAGCAAACATAATTGATTCTATTTCGACATATTAAAACGCATTTTTTAAGAAGTGGGAGAATACAAATTAATTGTATTTTTTAACCCCTTCCTAGAACTCAAATATTATATTTAAATTTTTTTTTTAATTTTCTCTTATTTAACTATAAAATTAAACCACAATGCAGTAAACAAATGGGTGGCAAAAACAAATTAGCATGCAGCTGACCGCAGAAATTAACAGTTAGCCATCGAGCACGACAATTCTGGGGCCTACGCCTTAACTAATGTCGTCTATTTTGGTTGGCAAGTGTGAATTGTTTGTGAATTGCCTGCAAACAAACAAGTTGCATAAATATCCAGTTCAAAGTGGTTTATTATATTATCCTAAGATATCCATTTGATATGATTTTCATATTGCCACTAATTACTGGCGTCAAGCGATGCCAATTCGAGTACTTATTGGGTATTAATGGGGTATTTTGGACTAATCGTATGACTCTGGAAGTTAACAGCGGCAAGCAGTGCGATTAACAGATGAAAGCAGGTGGCCTTTATCGGCTCTGCTTGACCCATTAAGTATACATAACGTATACGCCTTGTTGGCTCAAAATAATTGCCGTTATTTGTTTGCAATATTTTCAAGAAAAAACATAACAATATGCGAAAAAATACCAGAAAATATGGTAACAAAAACATGTTACACAGAGAATAAGTTTGTATAAACTAAGTCATTAAAAAAAAAAGTAAATTATCAGAAAACCAACAAATAATGTTAAGAATTATATTTCGAAAAATATATATATTTATTTTTTGAATAAAATTAGTGCCTCGTACTTGCACTTTCCATTTAAATATCCCCATTTTCTCTGTGTACCAATCGAAATATTGCATAGTTGCGAATTGAAGTTAAGCCTTCTGCTGTGCGTTTTTTCGGGCACGGACATATCATAAACAATTGCCGCAGTCACACGTGCTGCTGTACAAATAAACAAAGTGTGGCAGCTCAATTTACATGCTGCGAGCGGTTGCAGCACGTGACAAAAACACTGCAACATCCCGATGGTGCCCCGAATATTGGGTAAAACAAAACAATGGAGAACGCAACTATAACAGCAACATGTGGACATGTTGAATTAAAAAAAGGAAGGGGTAAGAAAAATAACCAGAATTGATTGCTCGAATGACAACTGCCGTTGCCTGTCGGCACCAAAATGCATTTTCCCCCGAAGGATATGTGTACTGCAATTAATTGATTTTTGGACTCCACCCATTCTCAAATTCCATGTGCGGCTTAAATGTGCGCCAAGGGCGATAATTTCACACCTCATTGCAAATCGAATCCATGTCGTGTTCTCACGAAATTCGCTTTAAAAGAAAGGGGGCTCGGATAAAAATATGGAGGCCAAAGACTAGGTTATGCAATCCATCTGCAAATCAGAGCCTGCATTAAGAGGGAAAAAACTGAAATGGTTACAAAATGGTTTTGAAGCTAACAAAAAATCTGTATTAAATGCCAACCATTTGCTAAGGGATTTGCGCTTATTTTTCACAGCTCCTCGGACCAGGTGTCGAATTTGCTGCTCGGCAAGCGCTTTTGCATTCGGTTGCTCCATTGTTTGCCCCTTTGTGTTTGTGCTCGCTGCTCTGCCAAATTGCATTTTAATTGTGCGCTCAAAGCAAACGCAGCTAAGTGCAAACAATTTCAGCTGAATGCGCGACAAACAAAACCAGAAAATTGCTCGGCAATGCTTTAAGCGGGCTTTTCTCTACCAATTCGCATTTTACATTCCGAATTCGCTACACCTTCAAGCCGAAAATAATCAAAAAAAAAAACAAAAATGCGAACGAAAAACGTTCCAATGCAAATTTGTCTTTTGACTTTGACTACGTGAGCCTTTAATGGTTTTTCTGCTAGTAACTTTAGTAGAAAACTCGAAACTTTTCAACTTCCTGGGCCGTCCCCTTTGATTTCGAGTTGACAAAAGTTCGCAGCGAGTTGAGCGCATATTACAAAGGCCCCTCGTTCTCGGACACAGAGGCTAGGGTGGATGGGTTGAGTTTTCTTTTCCTATTCCCTGGATTCAGGATCCAGAAACCGGGGAGTCTTGTGCGCCATTGCGCTTTTTACCTACTTGAAATGCAGCAGCTGGTGTCCTAGCAGCATCTAGCAGAACTACTAAAAGCACAAGCCCTAAACCTCTTCGATTCCCAGTAGCCAGCAGTTGGACATTTCATTTTCATTCCATTTGGACACACGTAATTCCCCGAAGGTTAACGCAACTCCACTCTCTGCTCAATGCCGAAGCTGTTTAAATATTTCAGCTGGCTGCATAGCCAAACTTTGTCTAATTGCCAACCAGATAGCGCCGTGAAGTAGGCTACGACGGAAGCAGGTCACCAGTCAAGGATTCACCTCGAGCTTTAATCGACCAATTCGAAGGGAAGCTGATTGAGTAAATTAGAATAAATTAAGGACACCACACTGTTGTCTCAGATAATTTTGGTCTCTATTAAAACGTTAGAAATATAAGGATACCTTTAAAGCTTATGTATTTGAATAATATTTGATATATAGAATTTGAATTTTAATCATCTTTGAATGTTTTAGATTTAATATATAATTTGCTTAAGGTCCTGAAATCATTTAATTAACTTTTATTGATATATATTAAAATGTTTTTATTAAAATACAAATCTAAATAAAATAAACTATCATTAAACAAATCTGGTTATTTTCCTCATGTTAACTAATATAAAATTTGAAAATTACGCTGCCTTAATTCAGCTTTTAAGAGCCCTGAGCAGACGTCAAAGGCCAAAGGTCATAATCATTTAAAATCATGCATTTGCATCCCTGTTTTAATGTCATTTGATATGTCCACCAGCTGAAAGCTTTTTAATGACCATAATTTAGCTGCAGCAGCTACTGTAGCTTTTGCACGAAGAACACGCATCCTGGGTCAAGGATACGCGTACATACATATGTTAGCTATACATATATAGGAGACGAGTATACAGCCGGGGCCAAAGGACGGGGGATAACCTTGCGCATAATTAAGCTACACGAGCACGCAGCAACCGCAAAAGCAGCATCAGCAGAGACATCCGCATGGTTAATCATACGCCACGTTGGCTACGAAGACTTTGAAAAATTTATTCAGCAAGAGCCGAAAAGCCTTTCAGCACTAACAAGCAGGCGCAACGACGACCGGCAATGGCAACGGCAAATATTGTGACAATAGCGAAAACAAAAAAGTGGGATGGAGCAGGATGGCAGGATGGCAGCCCGCTTGTGTAAATATAGAATTTTATAATAACAAAGCACGTCGCAGGTGCAATTAGTGTGCAAATAAGCGTTTATTTGCCTTGCCAGACAGACAGACAGACAGGACAGGCAGGTCTTAGAGAAAGTAGAGGGTGGAAGAACACATAACAGGGAGATATGCCATATAACTGACCTCGTTTGCACCCCCTGCGAAAATTAGAATTCAATTCGGTTCAAGCAGCATTGTCACCGAGGGAGTCGTATTCAAGAAAATTGCCCAAGATTATGTCAAGTGAAATTTGCTGGGCCATAAATCAAGCAACGCTTACAACCGAACAACAAGCAGCATTTACTGCATGCAGCATCTATTGCAGCTACTGATGCAATTGCAGCAACAGCAAAAGCACCAGCTCAGCTCACTCAGAGGCGGCTAAACAACATTACTCAAGGCACTGAGGACACGAGGACATGCAACATCCAACACACGCCACACGAGGCAGGACAAACAAGAAAACTAAACCCTGACCAGTTGGGGACTTGCTATTTGCTCACATGCAAAGTGCACTGACACTCGCACAACCAACCTCTCTATCCACCCTCTCACACCCAACACACACACAACGCACACACACGGTGCTCAGGAGCAGACTCAATTGACTGCGAGATGGCAACAACGTTTTTATTCTCTCTGTACCTCTTTTGCCTGCCTCTAAGTCCCCTTTCCTTTACACAGGAAAAAATATTCAGAAAATGAAACATATTTGAGACCTTCAGAGTTTTGAAATCATATAAAACTTAACTGAAAGAACCTTCCTTGCAGTTTTAACACAAGGCCAAATGGTCCTTACCCCATTAACAAGCTTAGGTGCATTCGTTTACCAA